GATGTTCGCAAACCGTACATAAGCCGTGTAATCTATAAAATGCACAGCCGACAAATTACATAATATGTTCAAACCTTGGTATATCATTAATGCATAAATATCCACACTCGTTTCGTTACTACTCCAATTATAATTAATTATCAGCATTATTTTGTACATTTACTTCGCAAATAACCAAAGTTATCATTAATTTATCGATTAATCATTAACCTCGTAAATTATGTCCGAGCATATTCATTCGCAATAAAAATGTATTTCTATTAACATGATCTAGTGTATCTATTAGCATGATTCGATGCATTAGCATGATAATTTCTATGTTCGCTTTAACTTAATTTCAACTAATGAAATTTCTAGCTTTAATTCATAAATCCTTATACTTGCAATATAAATTCTCTGCCCTATATTGTAATAAAAATATATGACCTATTAGTATAACTTCTACAGTGTAGTTAATTTAAGTTCTAAATTAGTAATGAAATTTCATTAGTAACTAATGAAATTCTTCGATGGAGAGATATATATTATTTATTCAAAATCCTGAACTTTTATTATAGAAACTGGAGAGAGAATATTCCAAGAATAATTAATTAATAATTGCGAACGAAATTTCATTAGTAATAAATTATTAATTAATTATTCTTGGAATATTCTCTCCCCAGTTTCTATAATAAAAGTTCAATGTTAAATAATATATGTCTACATCGAAGAATTTCGATACCAGCAAACGATACGTATTTGAGGTACAGCTTACATATCCGCGGATTTCCACATATGTGCACATGTATAATCGTAATTTCATCGTCTCGACGACACGCTGCCCGGATTCCACTTGCTTCGAGATATTGTCTCGCACTGTGTCAGCATGTTGTTACCCGCACCGTGGCCCCGATAAAATTATGTTAGCGACTAGTTATAGCAACGGCGACGATAGCACAGATAATACTAATTTGTCGTGACGCCACTTCTCTTGATAGCCAGTTTCACTTAATAGCTAGCGATAACTAACACTTTGCTTTCCTTTAACGCTTTCATTGCTCGCGACTGCTGCAAATAATTTGCACAATCTATAACGATACACAAACAATTTATGACGATGTGCAAACAATTTATAACAACTATGTCTAACGATAAGTTATGTGGATCAGTTTTTTGCCTGATCTAGATTTAACAGTCTTCTAAATACTTAAAATGCTATAAGCTTAACATTAATGGTTCAGAAATTTTCATGAAAATGCTTTCATACAGATTTTAGAATTACTTCAAATAATTCAGTGATCGAAATTTCAAAGCGAAGATACAAATAAGAAATAAAAAATAATGTGTATTCAAAAAATAATTTACTCCAATAAACTTGATGACATTGATAATAGTTTGAGATAGTATTTTATTTCAAATAAAACGCTCCAGTTTAAAAATCATTCGTCAGTTCGAAAAATGTGATGCAGCAGCGAAAACATTTCCATTCGCGGAAATTGTTCTTGCTTTTAAAATATTTCTATTTTATCGGAGAATGGTGCGGGAAGACTACTCGAAATGATTTCCAGCTCTAAAAGCTTTTCTGTCCGGGTTTCATGATACGCGCGATCTGCAAATGATTACGTCATCGGAGATTTTCAATCCGTTCGGACGAACGTATATAGACGCGTGTTGCAGCGCAACGCATCTTTCACGGAACAGAAATCACGAGAAGGCAGTGCAGCTGCGGGCGTACAATATATCGCGTCCCGTTTTCTCCGATATAAATATGGATGGAACGTAATGTCGCCGATATAACTCTCCGCCTACAATCAGAAGAAGGATGTACGGTTGAAAACGTTAATGCAACCTTGTAATATCTTCGCGTTTTACTTCGATATTAAAACGACCGAGATATTAGTTCCAGTAGCATCTACGTCAAATAAGGAGTACTGCAAGTATTACAAGGAATTACTACCTACGTCTACCTCGCATCGTAAATACGTGTTTTTGCTCCACCTACGAGGTAGTGAATACTGCTTTAGTCACTGTAAACTCTTTCATTCGGGGCAAAGTTAATTAAAATTTTTTTTAATTGGGAGAAGTTAATTTTTGTAGAAATATTTTTTAGAAACCTTTTACGTAGATATGTAGATGTATATTTTTTGCTACGGTATATCTTTTGCTTTCAACATTTTTTACTGCTTTTCGTTGTTTACTATGAGCAGTGTAAGTTGGTTCTAACAAAAGGAGTGATTCTTCGTTTGAAGTAAAGAACAAACCCCAGCGAATTATATTCCTAAGAATATAACAGATAGATCTACTGAACAATTATATAAAATTTCATCAAAAATGTATCAGTGTCTATAAGTTAGCAAGGTAAACGTATGTCTTTCAAAATATCAAAGAGTCTGTAACAGAATAAACGCCGTTTAACTAAACACGTTGTTGAGGCAAAAATTCTTAAACACCGTAAAATGTCTAAGCTAAGTTTAATTAAAGCTGAACATCTTTTTAATTAAAATACCAAAGAGTGTTAAGTGAAAGGCAGCAACGGAATTCAATTTAACAGCAGGTCAAAAGCAGCAGAAATTACGCTGAAAATTCGTTGGTTTACGAAAGGTTTCGCAGAAATTCCCGAACTGCGAAAAATATGCGTGCGGATACATTCTATCGGAGGTAACGTTACGAAGGGAAATTAAAAAATTGCTATGTCGCGATCACGGAAGTATCTACTATAAATTCCGTGCGCTTGGTCGACTTGTCGTTCCGAGATGTTGGAGTCAAGCAAGAATATTGCTCGAATTCCGTCGATGCCCTCGGCGATACCGTCCTTGTTAGTAGAAAATTGGGTTTAACTTCGAATGCATATTCCCTTGCACCCCTGATTCTTATCGGAGGACTTCCACTTTACCTTCCCTTCTTTTCTTCGCATTTTGCTTTCAGCGCCTGGTATCGCGTACAAATTGTTTCGTGTTCGACCAATTTCGAACCGTGTTCTAGATATTAAACGTTGTAAAGTCTGATGCGGTTCTCATGTCTTATCAATTCAAACTTCAAAACCTATCATACATTACTACTTTAACATTTTACAAGTACAATGGATAATAACCAATTACAATGAACAATGAACAATTTTGAAACGTTTGTGAAGACCGATACAGTTGGATGACATAAATGTATCTCAAAATGGCGCTTATGATATATCAATTTGAAGCTCAAAACCTATTGTAAATAACTACTTTAACATTTCATAGATAAAATAGATAATAACCAATTACAATGAACAATGATCAAGTTTGAAACGTTTGTGAAGACTGATACAGTTGGATGACATAAATGTATCTCAAAATGGCGCTTATGATATATCAATTTGAAGCTCAAAACCTATTGTAAATAACTACTTTAACATTTCATAGATAAAATGGATAATCAAATACAATGAACAATGATCAAGTTTGAAACGTTTGTGAAGACTGATACAGTTGGATGACATAAATGTATCTCAAAATGGCGCTTATGATATATCAATTTGAAGCTCAAAACCTATTACAAATAACTACTTTAACATTTCATAGATAAAATAGATAATAACCAATTACAATGAACAATGATCAAGTTTGAAACGTTTGTAAAGTGTGACACCATTGGATGACATAAATGTATCTCAAAATGGCACTTATGATATATCAATTTGAAGCTCAAAACCTATTGTAAATAACTACCTTAATATTTCATAGATAAAATAGATAATCAATTACAATGAACAATGACCAAGTTTGAAACGTTTGTAAAGACTGATACAGTTGGGTGACATAAATGTATCTCAAAATGGCGCTTATGATATATCAATTTGAAGCTCAAAACCTATTGTAAATAACTACCTTAATATTTCATAAATAAAATGGATAATCAATTACAATGAACAATGACCAATTTTGAAACCTTTATAAAGCCTGATACAATTCGATGACATAAAAGTATCCCAAAATGGCACTTATGTTATATCAATTTGAAGCTCAAAACCTATTACAAATAACTACTTTAACATTTCATAAATAAAATGACTAATATCCAATTATAAACAACGATTAATTTCGAAGTACATAAAGTCTAACATAACATAATGATACAAAATATAAGCCTACATATCAATAACCACATATCAACATAAAAATTAAAAAGACATGCTTACAAATCTATCATCTTTGTTCCAATTAAACGCCTAACATTCTCAAGCTATTTTCCCTAGCCACTCATTGAACCGATCGGGCAATATCCGCAAGATTTTCCCGTTTAATTTGCGCGAAATGCAAGACCGTTGAATCGAATGGAAAGTGTTGCCTTTGTTTCGAAGACGACCGTTCGTAATACTCGCGAGAGTGGTCCTTAATTATCAAAATAAAAGCGGACGAGGTTGCTTTGTTCGTTGCCGCGTCGGCCACATTCATTCGACGCGCGAAACTGAAGTCGGCCGCGTTTTTTCAAAAGAATCGCTCGAGCACTTTTCGCTTTTCACGTGGCTCTTCAGCTATTCGAGGGTCGTTCGTGACCATTTGACTCCTCCAGCTGCGAACGCGAACCGCAAACACCAGGCAGACGCGTTCCTTTTATTTCCGGGCTTTCGTACAAATAGCGACGAGAAATAATAACGCGTCTTTATTACGGCGCGAATAAATATCAACGCGAGGTAAAAAATGCTGCTATTCAATTCGACGCTTGCGGAACCGGGTTGTAAATTATACATACAATTAGTATTGTGGGTTAGGTAACGGTGAAACTGGAGCGAGTCAAATTGCGTGATAATTTATAGATTTTTAGTCAAAGGAATCTTGGAATTAATTTGATGGATGGAGAATATGATGGATACGAACGGATTAGTCGAGGCTTGTAGAATTGATCGATTATGAAATACGTTCCCCTCGGTTAAAATGCTTATTGATAGAATTTCGTGAAGATTCGGGAAGTTTTAGAAATTGGAAATTGGAACAAAGAAAACAAATATGAAGAACTACAGGATCATAAAGTAGATAACACTATCGTTCTGCTTGGTGGAAGAAAATATATTTACGTATGTATTTATGTATATACAAATTGATCGATTATCACAAAATCCTGCCTGTACAACGAAGAGTATAAATGTTCATGAAAGAAAACTTGAATTCCCTTTCAGTATAGTCACTGATTCGTTCCGATTAAAAATAAATGCTAAAACAGATCTCGAAAAAAAAGAAGAAAATCAGAGTATGCTCTACGACGAACACCAACTTTCGAGTGGGCAACTAACCAGCCCGGAGTACTAGTTACAACAATTAAATCCATCCAAAGTTATTCGAAAGTAGGAAACATCCCGATGTTTAAAAATCGACGCGTAAAAATTCAGTTCAATTTCGACTGGAACTATCGACGATACCGTGTGGCGTATCGGTGTAGTGAAAGACCGGATATATCATCGGTACCGGCACGTACTCGACCAGGGAGAAATTGTTCCTGGGGACAAACTCCTGCGCCAACGGGTTCAACGGCGTGGCCAGCGGGAGTTCGGGAATCTGGCTGAGATGATACTTGAGTGTTTCTTGGTCCGTGCCGTGGATATCGGCAATTTCCAGATACCTCTGCCAAAGCTTTCGACAGGAACCGATCGTTAAGAGGGCAATCGGGTCGCCGACCACCGCGACCAAACATTTGGCCCGCGTTATGGCCGTATTTAACAGCCTCGGATTCGTTAAGAATCCATAGTCCTTCACGTTTCTCTCCGCCGAATATCTGCACGAGTTTCTGGTCCGAACGATGCTGATAAACACCGCGGTGAACTGTTTTCCTTGAACGTTCAATACCCTCTCGACCGACACGTCGAATAGCTTGCGTTTCCGTAGCTCCACTCGTATCCTTTGCACCTGTTCCGCGTAATAAGACAGAACACCGATCGATCCCTCGCCGTATGGTCCCCAGCAATCTACAGGCCAGCTGCTTTTCAGTTCCAACACACGATTTACTATCTCGTGTGCCTCCATCACGTGCACGAATCCTGTTGAGTACACGCCCTGTCGAAGAACAAACAAGAAATTACCCCGAAGCGGAGATATCTCCAAGTTAATACGAGCTCGAGTTGGATACAACAAACTCTCGTATTACAGATAAACTCCGTTTGCAAGTTGGGAGTTTGAACAATTGAAAGTACCAAAGTTTAGAAAATTGCTGTAGACCGACAAAAAGAAAATTTGCAATTTAAAAATAACCAACATCGAAATCAAACATTCTTCGTATCGAAAACGTACCTGTAGTTCCTCTCCCTGAACTGCGTAGAAGGTCAGCGGCTTCAGTACAGGATGCTTCATCAATAAATTGTTACCGGGCTTCACCACCCCCTCGTAAAACATCTCGGATGTATACTTGATGATGTCTCCATGGGCACGGTAGTTCTGACAAAGATGTATCCTACAAGGATGCGTCGGCGGATACATGCCATAGATCCTCTCGAGTAAGGTGACCCCTAGGCCCCGTTCGTTCGCCAAATCGCTATAAATTTCTGGCGCTAGTTGCATCTGATCGCCAGCCAGAATTAGACGGGTCTGAGGTGTGGCTAACGACAGTGGTATCAGAACCTCGCATTCTAAAGCCTGGGCTGCCTCGTCTATCACTATATGCGTGAACGACAAGTTTAGGCACGTTAATGAACTGGATGTGGTCAGAGTGGTCACGATCAGTCCGCAATCTTGAAGGTCCTTCTCGGTAGGATCACGGAAAGTACCGTTATCTTGCATCAAGGTGTACTCTTGGACCACTGGATGTACCTGAAATAGCGCAATGAAACCAAAAAAGGAATACTTCAACGGAGATGACGAGTTTCGTCTCCTTTGAGAAACGTACCGTGTTTCTGGCTCGACCTTTGTAATAAATTCTGACGGGTCTTAATCGTGGATACTTTTCCATTTTGTACCAACCGTCGAAGAATTCTTTGACGTACAGATCGGCTGCGCTATTGCTATGGGTACAAAGCAGAATCTTGTATTCGGAACTACTGGTGAGCAGGACTCTTAGGGCCTGAGCAATGGTAAACGTTTTTCCTGTTCCAAATGGTCCAAGTAACAAAATCGGTGGTAAAGAAATCTCTATAGGGGCTGTTATGATCGCTAGAGCTCTTTTTTGTTCCGTATTAAATAAACGATTCTTCATAGTGGCATCTGGCAAAGTTATACCATCGATCTCTTTTATCTCCTTATGAGCTTTGCTTAAAAAAACTAGACCTACATCGGGCAAGCTATCTACAGCTTTGTGCCACTCGCAGGAAGGCAAACGATTCAGTACAAATTGCAATTGCACTTCCAGATCTGTATTCGCCACCAAGTGTAACGTGTCTACACACATTTTGGACAGTCTTACGTACACAGTTTGCGTACACTTGTCTTCTATGTGTGCTTCGAATATTATATTCGAGTTACGGCTCTTGAAAAGTACTCTATTGCAACCTCTCAGGAACAGTCTTCCGCTTTTTGTATCTTCTGTGATACTGCGGCTTAGTGGTAACTGTGATAAAAATTTATCATACATTTTGCGTTGTATAATTTTCAAACAAGCATGCTATAGTTATAGGAGTATACTAACAAGCTAATGCTAAACGTATGCTATCTTTCAAAATTAGTAGAGTAATAGAGAAATAAAAAGAAGCGTATAATAGCTAAAAAGATTCGCACCTGAGCAAAGAGCTCACCAGGCGGTGCGTATTTGACGGTGGTAGATGCATCACCCGAAGAAGCCAAAATATAATGGCAAAGAAGCCGCATATACGTGCTTTCATTGTATCTGGCAATTTGTTCGTGTCTAGCTAATTCTTCCACCGTGATTAATTCGTGAAGACGACCTCTATAATTTTCTGGTGTCAAGCAATCGTCCGTAAGGGATTGTTGAGTTAAAAAGAAATTGTTTCTATCCGGGTACGGATATATCATAGCTAATTTATCTTCTCTGGGATCTTTTGGTGGCACAAACGGTGATTTAAAGCGACAAATTAACGTCGTTTCGTTTATCCATGTTTTTGGATTCTGTGAAAACTGATAGTTCGTGGCTTTATGAATTCTTGAAAAGTCTTCGACCGGTAAACAATCCACGCATATCCTTTGAAGTATTACAGGATATTCCCCAAAGTAAAAAATAATGTTCTGACGATAAGTACCATACTGATTGGCAACAAAACAGATTTTGACATAATACTGTACTTTGCTGCTTTTGTTTCTTTTCGTATTCATTGCATCTAACTCTGTACTACACCATTCTTGACCATTTGTCACTCCAATTTCATTGGTATTATATAAAACCGACTTCAAAGCAAAATTTTTACGATTCTCGTCCAAAGTTAATGCTACTTGTTGTAATTGTTTACCTAGACAAATGTAACAAGTTCTATTATATTCATTGTCTTACATCAATAAACTACTATAACTTGCTTTGCATGTAAAGAAATTTCAAGTAAAACATTGTAGTAAACAAATGTTGTGATTTAAATTAATCATTCAAAGATTGTTCCAATAAAGTATCATTTATTGTCTTTAAGTATTAATTACTGGTCGTTAGATTTTCACTGTGTTCCTGCGTATCAATCTTGCAAACAATAATGAACAATTTTGACGAGTACAAATGTAAACAATCAAAAAACAATGGCACTTACCACGCGCCAGAATGTGAAAATTCCAACAATAAATGACATGACAACTCGTCGATCGACAACAGAGATTGTTGTCGGGAACAATTAACACGTCCTCCGATTCCTTGCAAACGATAACTTTCTCAGGATTTTTCGACTTAACCCAATCGCGATGGACCTTTTCGGCGATGCTGGGAAACTTAGTCTCTCCATTGAGCCTAAGCGAACAGTTAGCCATGATGGCCGCTTGAAATTCTGAATATATCCCGAAATTCGAACACTCGTTACCGTATTACGACACAAACGCAGCTTTACATTTTATCGATAGGATATAATTCGATCCTAACCCAGACATAACAAACGCACAAATTTCATCACGCATTTTCGCGGTAGCATCATTCCACGACGAGTACAACGCTTTCGACTACTGACAGGTCAGTGTTCACTCTGCGCGGACGCAGTGTGAACGGTGTTGAAACACGGCGCGCGCCATCTTGTGAGGGTCGTGGTATTTTAATGATTTCTGTACTGCGACTTTATCGACGTTGGATAGCAGGAAACGGAAGATCATTTAGTTTTGATATGAATTGAAAATTATATTTGAAGGAAATGTTTGATACATAGGTTAATCATAAAATAAGTTTATTTGTCGGTATATAACGGTAATATTATTGTTTGAAGTTTTCGAGATTAATTTCTTTTTATAAGATTGTAAAAAATTACTCAGATCGTAATTGCAAATAAGCTTGTCTCTAGAGAAAGGATAAATTCGATTTAGTTTGATGGTAAGAAGACACTCAGAACTCCTTTACGTCTGGAACGCTTATCAGGCAAACTCGAGAAACGTCAGTGAAATCAGATTAGAAAAACGCATTAGAGACATCGCGGCAGAATGGAAGAGACGAGGTGAAAAACACAGACGAAGGCGAAATAAACAAGCGGTGAAAAACGATCGAAGCTGATGCGAAACGGCCTCTTCTGCCGGCACGCAATCTCGTGGAAATTCCAAAGAAGATTCTCATGTAAATCGCGCTACGTTATCGAACCACCGGAAGTGGCTAAATGACGATCGCCATTATCCATGCGGTCTGGCGAAGGGTTTTCGAGAGCAACAGACAGAAAGGGCGAAAGAGAGAGAGGTGGATGAACAGTGGTGTAGAATGGTTGAAGAGTCTGAACGCGCAGGGGGTGAAATGCAGAACCAGAGGAGTGGAATCGGTGGTTAGCCCCGGTGGGTTGAAAGCTTTCGAATCGACCATTTCGTGCGTTGCTCCAGGTATTCCCCTTGGATACCAGGCTATTCCATTTACCTCGACGCCCGGCCGCGAGAAAGAAAAGAGGATGGAAAAAAATAGCGGCAAATCTGGCAGTCACGAGAGCTGACCAGTTTGCAACGCGCACTCGGGGTAAACTGTTTGTCCGTTTTCGAACTTTTCCTACCCCAAGGGAAATCTAATGCGACGTTCGACGACCTGTCGCATTTGTTCCGAGGATATTCGAGGGACGCGTGTAAAATGGGGAACCAGGTGGGCTGTTTCGAGCCAACAACGTGCCATGACTCTTTCGGTGTTATGGTACAGAGAGAACGAGTTAATACGTTGTTTCGACGTTTGCAGCTATCTCCGTCGTTCGTTAGGAAAACAAAATTTCCTCTCGATTTTTAAAGAGGTTTAAAAACGATCGTAATTGTTCACCGTTGTTTCGACGCATTATTTTATTGTTCACATTTCATTCGAATAGTATCACGAAACTCGCGTTAACGAGGTCGACTCTCGAAAGATTATTAAAAGCAAGCCTCTTTTCAACCTCCCTTGAATAAATCTACATCGCGTTGTTCCCGTTGGAGCCTCGACGGTAACAAACCGGAAGAGAACAAAATACCGAAACAAAACCCCCGAACAACAGCCTGGATATTTATCCTTTTCAAGACATTTCCGCCACGAAAAAGCCCTCCAGGTAACGCCGAACGATAAAAATCATCCTGCAGGTAACCTATTCTTGAAAGAACACGAAAAAAAGAGAACACGAGAGAAACTTGGCCCGTCCTTATGAGGAAAATTTCCTATTTACCTCGTTACGTTTTACGGATCGCCGGAAGTTCGTGAACAGCCAGAGCGACAAGGGTTGATGAGCATCTCGGTCGACGATAAATTTATCCGTGGCTCGCGATTAAAATGACGAAGCGACCGGGTAATGAAGGTCTCGATAAAAATGTTCCCAGAAAGTGATCTTCGTCTTGCTGACATTTTTTTCTATGCCAGAATAAAGATAAAATTTCCTGCTTATCGATGGACGTGAAACCTCGGCGTTTATCTTTGATAGATTTGGGGAGTTGTAATTCAGATTCTTTTTAGTGTAATGCAAATGTAATATTGTTATAATATTATTATAATATAATTATACTTAATATAAGCTCAAATGTGAAATGTAACAGCAATGTGAATATAATTTAATATAAATATAATATAAATATGATGCATTATTATTATAATATAATAATACACAACATAAGTGCAAATGTGAAATGTAATAGCAACATGAATATAATTTAATATAAATATAATACAAATTATGATGCATTATTATTATAATATGATAATACACAACATAACTGCAAATGTAAAATGTAATAGCAACATGAATATAATTTAATATAAATATAATACAAATTATGATGCATTATTCTTATAATATGATAATACAAAATATAACTGCAAATGCAAAACGTAATAGCAACATGAATATAATTTAATATAAATATAATACAAATTATGATGCATTATTCTTATAATATGATAATACACAACATAACTCCAAATGTAAAACATAACAATAACATGAACATTATATAATATAAATATAATACAAATATGATGCAGACATAATATAATGAAATACAAATATATAACACAAGAAACATAATATAATACAGGTGTGATGCAAAAATAATGTAATAGAATGAAAATATAATACAGACGTTATACAAATTTAATAATATAAAAGAAGTTCATAGATTTGAAAATTTGAAAACTTCAGAATAGTAGAAGTTTTGAAGTTTGTAAATTTGAGAAATTGTCAACATAAAAATTAAAAAATTTAAAAGTTGCCAACATAGAAATTTGAAAATTTAAGAATTTAATAAAATAGAGATTTGAGAGTTACCCCGAAAAATTATAACCTAAAAAAATTTGTTTACGCAGTGCTGGCAATTTGCCATAAGTCAGAGTATTTTCCTTGTAAGAAAGCGAGAGAAGGAAGGAAACAGTTGGATCAGTGGGTGGTTTATATCGGTAATTAAAATCTGTCGCGTACGGCGGTATTGGGTTGGGCAGGAAAAACAAAATAAGGGTGTCAGATGGGCGAAGAGCGTCCAGCGTGATCGAAAACGGGGATAGCAAGGATCGAGGGAAAACGTTGAAATCGCGCTAACGAGAGGATTCGTTATTGAACGGAGCCGGAATATAAAGAACTGTCGTTATCGCGCCTCCAACGTGTTCCCTCGGGCGCGATGCAAATGTGCACGATACGGACGTGTACTCGGGGCTTGGTCACTTTTTTAATCGAGTCTGCACTGTTCCGTGTCGCGCGTTTTCATCCACCTCGTCCCATCGACGGCTTACGTATCAGTCAATTATTAGGAAACGTTTTTTGCGCCTCTATCAGTTGTTTCACGCGCTCGGGATGGATGTTCCTTTTGCTGATCCAAATACGTACCGATATAATGAATTTATGAAATTTTCGTATTTATATTCAAATGAAGTTTTGTTCATTTCGTGTTTACTTCGATCTTATGTTTATATTCAGTTCGAATCAAGTCAATTTCATATTTCGATTTTAATTTATATTCGATTCATATGAAATTTCGTTGAGGAATTTTCAGTATTTGGAAATTTAGGTGTACATGATGTTTATTTAGATGTATTTGGAAATTTAGATGTACATGATGTATATTTAGACGCATTTGCAAATTTACACGTACACGAATTATTTATTATTTGAAAAGTTGAAAGCTTGAAACTTTGAAAATTCATAAAGTATGTATATCGAGTAAATAGTATCCCGGAGAAGTTAATCGGAACTCATTAAGAGCAAACGAGGCTGATGCTCAGGAGAGTTGTCCGAATCTAATTGTTTCCACTTGTGGGGTCGAGTGGACCCGAATTGCGGCTGCAGGATGTAAGCCAGCCACGATTCGTCGCAGCTGCGAATGTCAGGTGAACGGACAAAGTCAAGCGCACCTGGCTCGTTTATTCGGCTAATTTATACGACACCTCGTCACTTACGGTGACTAACAGCGGTCCACCGTCGAATCGATACATCCTTTCGACCTTTACCGAGCCTCGATTCCACTTCGATTTTAACACATCGTTGATTCGCATTTTCAAAACAGTGTTCACCGATCGCCACGTGTTTACACTCGAATTAACTATTTCAGTTTTCAAAGCTTCGAGTAATTTAGGATGTAAAAGCATTCCTTGTCGCATTCTCTCGTTCGCTTTATTGTAATAGCGTTACAAATATTTCTATGATGTTGAAGAGATTTTACGGATACTGTAACTGTTGCATAATTGCATCAAAAAAATTATTAAAAGAAGACACGAACAAAGTTTCATCGTGCATAAATAAAATATATCCAAGTTCATTTAGACTTCACTTTCAAATTTAATTACAGAAATAATAACCAGTTCAGTCGATTAACAATGCGTTAAATTCGGTCCTGTCGAAAGATGACAGTCGGAAGAATGTTTTTGATACTCGGTTAATAAGCATTTAGCTACGAACCCGGTGTAAAGAGAAAGTTACGTAACGGTCTTCTTCGAGAAAATTTGATGGGAGGATAGAAGGAAACGAACCGTTCGAACGTTTAATAACTAAAGTTGGAAGAACATTAACTGAATTCTATTGTTGTCGCGTCGTCGACGTTGAATGGGAATTTGATTAAAATTTTGTTTAAACTTCGACGCGTCTGGAGTCTGGTCACGGAATAGAAATTCATTTCGTGACCGATAGACTGTTCATTTGTGTTGTTTGCGAACTTCCATGACGAATATGTTGCACTAATTTTTTAATGGGAAGTGTTTGGAGTTATTTGGTTATTCAGATGTAAGATGGTAGTTTTGTAAACGAGTGTCGAATGCAAAATTTACTTTTGGATGTTCATAAGATAGTTTTGTAAACGAGTGTCAGGTGCAAAATTTACTTTTAAATGTTCAAAAAATAATAGTTTTGTAAAGGAGTATCAGGTGCAAAATTTATTTTTGAATGTTCATAAGATAGTAGTTTTATAAACGAGTGTCAGGTGCAAAATTTACTTTTAAATGTTCATAAAATAATAATTTTGTAAACGAGTGTCAAGTGCAAAATTTACTTTTGGATGTTCATAAGATAGTTTTGTAAACGAGTGTCAGGTGCAAAATTTACTTTTAAATGTTCAAAAAATAATAGTTT